GAAGAGCGGACGTTTTTTCCGCGAGTTTCCGCACTAAATTTATTAACCCTGCCGCGCGACATCGCGACATATCCATCCCTCCGACGGCGCTTAATGTGATTATACCATCTGCAAGTATTATGGTAAATGGGTTCCGGAGGAGACGAGACAGAGAACGCGGATAGACATTTCGCATGAGGCGAAATTAGCTGCACGGCCGTCCGACAATAAGGGCGGAAGCACGTCTGTCATGCGGTAACGAAAGCGGATAAGGAAGGGCTAGCCTGCAGGCGGAGCACGCCAAAGCTAACATAGCTAAACAAGCAGCACAACCACCGCGTCGTGCCGCTGCTATACGACGACGGTATGCGAGTAGCTCCAATCTCTGTTTGCTCGCCTCATCTCTCTTCCTCCCCGCGGCGTTTCACCGCGAGCGTGCGACGCGTCTCGTTACGCTGCATCGCGCATCATCGTCGGGTCTTAACTAAGGGGTCGTCGCCTTTAAATTATGTACCTCGTCTCTCCTTTTTTTTTTTTTTTTTTTTTTTTATAACCACTCTACTACGGAAAGTGAATTTTCTTCTTATGTGCTCGACTTGCGTCCACCGCGACACGTCCTGCCTCATTAAGCGAATATCTTTCGCTTTAAAGAATCAGTGTAAGTACGCTAGCGAATATTTTATTAATTTTATACTTATTTCTTTATTATTATGAAGCAAATTATACTTCTCGCGAAGCAAGGAATATTTAATAGATTCAGCTCTTACACATATAAAAATATCGACAATTAAAACAAAATACTTTAGGTAAATTGTTCATAGAAGGATATATTTTTTTTTACTGAATGTGAAGTCTCAATACTGAAATGGATATTGGATACCATTTATTAAATTTTCAAAACATCAAATATGTACTAGATGATATGGACATATGAAAAAGTGATATATCCTGTTTTGAACAACGTATATTTGTTCGAAAGTGCCAACATACTACTGCTCGATGATGGTTTCGCCGCTGGTGACAGTTTTTATGCCTCGAATACACGTGCAAATATTCATATATATATTCACACTGGATGTAGGTCAATTGACTCTTTGGATTTGCGCCAATCAAAAAAAGATATTGTGTGAGTGTTTTGTGTGTGTGCGTGTGTGTGTGTGTGTGTGTGTATATATATATATATACGATATTTTGTACAACCTCTAACTTCCGCAATTTTTGAGATACCGG